CGCTGACAGAACGAGGAACTTCTTGCCATGGCTGATCTCATAGTAGGCGATGTAGTTAGGGTCTAGGTCTTTGCGGTAGATCGGTATAATGGATCTGTTGTTGATCTTGGAGATGTCATTGGTACCCATGAGTTCGAAGAGGGTTTCTTCGACTTCAAAAGGCAGAGTGATGGCGTTGGTTGACTGGAAGACTGCGGCGGTACATGCTAGGATTATTACCAAGAGAAGCTCGAGCTTCATGTTGCAACCGTATTGATCAGAAAATTCTTGATGCAAATCTGTTCTCTTAGTGGACGCAAAATGAAAATGAATAAGTTTTCTTGATGATTTCCTGTAGGTAGAAAATGGTAAGAAGAATGGGGTAAATAAACTAGTAAGGTAACCAAATTTTGTACACTTTTACATACAGCTATATAAATTTTCACCGTGAAAAGCTGCTGTGAATCGGCCTAGGTATTTTTTTTTCTTTCCAACTTTATTGGGTAGTAGCTATAACTAAGGTACATGTATGCATGAGTAGTAGAACAATGAAAAAATAATTGTGAAAGACTACCCAATAGGGAGAGCGCGAACGGGACTCTAATTCCCATAATAGGCACAACTTCCCATAAGGACGCACATTAGATAAAATAAATTAAGATAATAAATATACTGATTAATTGTCACGAAAAATGCGAACTAGTGATCATGTGCAAGGCTAGTCGATATCAAATACGCTGACTATAATAATTATTATATGATTATAAATATAAAATATGAATAAATAAATAATAATTGTAAAAAATATACAAACTTGAAAAACAAGGAGAGGCCGATTTAAAAATGGCATTACCGAAGACTCAGCTCAGCGGGTCACTCAGTAACTATAACCATGCAGAGTCTCTGGTCCTTTCTTAACCAAAACGAGACTAAACCAATAAACAATTTAATTCACCGAAGGCGAAGTGAATATCGGGGAATATTTACCAAGCCGCGAGTCTTTAAACGGCAAAATAAATAAATTTACCCATATTGAATAATTGCTTTAGTATAATTTTAGGTTTAAATGTCAGAGGAAAGACGAAGCTGAAATCAAAGTTCAGAAACAAGCATTCAATACGCCTGTAACAGCCTTTTTAAAACTACTCGTACCTTTATATTTTAGCTTCTAAACTCGCTGATGAGCTCTTGCCTCTACAAATGCCCTGTAAGGACTGTTGGAAATCACTGTCGAAACCAGTTTTCTTATAAAGATGCAACGTTACTAAAAATAGTTCTGGCAAATATATTTTTATATCTATAGATCCAAGAGAGCATAAATATAATTGCTCTCTTGATAGAGCCGATTAAGCAAACACAAAAAGCGTTAATTAAAAGAGAAGCACGAACCGTAGATGAGTGTTTCTCACGCTTCCTAGTTGATAATAATACTAATAAAGAAATCGTTAGAGTATATAGAGATACGTAAGAACCGTTAGAAGTTACATGTGGACGATTGAGTGATGGTACTGACTGAAGGTTGATTGATGATTGCAAGGTTAGCGATACGACCATTAAAAAATTCGCAGAGAATAATGACGTTCTACCTCTTATGCATTACGCTTTAAAAAGCACGAACCGTATGCGAGTTCCCGTTTGATAATTATAGAGTATGTATTTAAAGGTATGTGAGAACCGTTACTACGTACATGGGAACCAATGATTTCCGCATTACTTTATGCATGGTACTCTATCTATTTCTGAACAA